ATACGAGCATCCTCAGATCTGGCTTTCCTCGGAGATCCTGAAAATAATCACTTTTGGATGTGGAAGGGCATGTGTATGTGGAATATTAGTTTGATTTTGTTTCAGACAAGGACTTACTATGGAGCTCAGGCCAGGCTAGAACTTGCAGCTTTCCTGCTTGTGTCTCTCTAGTGCTGGGATTACCACCATGCCTGGCTTGGAACCACGTTCAGTTTTCCTGGCTCTCCTAAAGCCATGGTCTGGTGCAGGAGAATTATCTGTATTCTGTCAATCATATTTTAATAAAACGCTGATTGGCCAGGCAGGCAGTATAGGCGGGAAAGCCAGACAGGAAGTAGGGGTGGAGCAAAGAGACTGGGAGTATTCTGGAAGCAGAAGCTCTCTCTCAGCCACTCCTGTGCAGACCACCGAAGAGGCAGCATGTAACTTGCCCAGCTGAGAAAGGTACGGAGCCAATGTGGCTAATGTACATAAAGATAATGGGGTAACATAAGTTATAAGAATTAACAAGAAGCCTGACCTAATGAGCCCATCAGTTTATAATCTTATGGAGTCTTGTGTGTGATTTTCCTTGGGGTATGCCGGCTCTGGGGTACCGGGTGGAACAGAAACCCCAACAAGCCGGCCCCTCATGTTACAATGGTCGACAAACTGCATTCTCCCCTGCCCACAGCCCCCAAGTAGCAGCAGCAGCAGCAGCAGCACTTCAGACCAACTGCACCAAAATCTCTGGAAACGCAGCCCAGCCCTGTGCCTTAAATCTTCCTGCTGACTCTGGTCCATGCTAAAGTCTGAATCCTGTGTCCTACTCTAAACTCTGGTGTGGGGGCCCTCAGATCTCATCATCATCCGGGAGCATATTTAGTACATAATTATATGAATCTATACTTATACATGCTCAAAGTTACAATTACTTTTGAGGATAGTTTCAATTTTTTTGTAAAATGATCTAATTCATAATCTAGGGCTGGAGATGGATCGGTGTTTTTAAGAGCCTTAGCTGCCCCTGCAGAAGACCACATGACAGCTCGTGATCATTTGTAACTCCAGTTCCAGAGGATCTGATTTTCCTCTTCTGGCCTCTTCAGACACTAGGTGAACATAGTGCACAGACACATGCAGGAAAAACAACCATACATATAAAATTTTAAAAATAAGTATCTTAGGGGCTGGAGAGATGGCTCAGTGGTTAAGAGCATTGCCTGCTCATCCAAAGGTCCTGAGTTCAATTCCCGGCAACCACATGGTGGCTCACAACCATCTGCAATGAGGTCTGGTGCCCTCTTCTGGCCTGCAGACATACACACAGACAGAGTATTGTATACATAATAAATAAATAAGCATTAAAAAAATATTAAAAAAAATAAGTATCTTTAAAAAATTCACAACTCTTAGAGAATACTAAGGAGAGGAAGAGGTATCTCACTCGGTTTCCTCTCCCTTGACTCTCTGGACTGCAACTGAATTCTGAGAGATACCTTGGTGAATACGCAGAAAAATTAAGAACTTTATTATCTCAAGAGCCCTCTTTCTTCAAGGTACATTTCATTGTAATATAACAGCTCCCCAAAGCATCCTCAGCATTTCCCATTATTTCTACCATTTGCATGTGTGTGTGCTCACCCATGCTCACATACGTGTGTAAGTGCATGTGAAGGCCAATAAATAACCTCAAGTGTCATTCCTCAGGCTCCACCCATGTTTTTTGAGATAGGATCTCCTACTGGCCTGGACTTCACCAAGTACGCTAGGCTGTCTGGCTAGTAGGCTACTCCCAGGATCTGCTTGTCTCTGCTTGCCTCCCCAGTGCTTCAATTACAAGGGCATACCACCCTAGCTTGCTTTCATATATATCGGTTCTTGGGATAAAAGTCAAGTACTCAAGCTAGCCCTCCAGCTTCTCCAACCTTCTTAAAGGCTGTACAGACCTGTATGTATTTGTATGAGTGTCACTTACTGAATAATGTACAGAAACCTAACATTGATCATGAAGACCACAGACACAGAGGCCCTGTTTTCTCAGTTTTTGTTTTCTACAGTTTCATTCCCAACAGCAAAATATTAAATGGAAAATTGCAGAAATAAAAGTTTTGATGTGATTCTAGGAAGGTGTGGAAAGCTTACTCCAGGGGCTGGATAGACAGCTCAGGGCTTAAGAGCACTTGTTGCTCTTGTAGAGTTCCCAGCACCCACATAGTGGGTCACAGCCATCTGTAACTCCAGCTCCAGAGAATCCAATACCCTCTCCTGAACACTGTGGGTACCAGGTATACATGTGATACAAACACACACGAGACAAGCCACTCAGAAACAGAAAATAAATCTTTAAAAACTTTCAAAATGACTCCACTCTATGCAGGGCTTTATGAATGAGTCGTTTGATCCTGCGTGCCCACAGTAGATACACTACACCCTTGCTAATAACCATCTCAGTGTTACCGTGTCTGTCCGAGTATCCCAGTGCGTGTGACTAAATAACCCTCATTTTACTGAAGGATGATCCCAAAGCACAAGAGAGTGATGCACAGATAGCATGACACATCAAGGAACAGATTAACTCTGATACTAAAGGGCAGGCCAGGAGAAGACACAGACAAAACAGTATCCTGCATATAGAGTCTGGCTCTCCTGGTTACAGGCTTCCACAGGGAGGCTTAGATGTACCTCTCTAGATAAAAACAAAACAAAACAAAAAAAAAAACTATACTTCATATCTTTGACAGTCAAAAACAAACAAACACCCTGTCACTTGTTTTATTACTTTTCTGGATTTGGGGTATCTTACAATCTAATGGAACATCTCTTAAAAACCTATGGTATTCCTTGGGTTAATTGCAGCATTGCACTTTTTCTTGCCTGTGGTCCATAACATGATGAACCTGAAAACCCAAGGGCATTTTAGAGAGACAAGGAAACAATACCATGTTATTAATGTGTGCAGAATATGCTAATGGTTCCCATCTACTCTAAAATGTGCTTTCTCATGCGATTCCAATGGGAAAGATTTTTTAAATAGCGTTCTGTAGCTGGGAAATGGCATAACTTACTGAGCACCCTATGAAGGGTGAGAGGGAGAGATGGGATTCTCTCTGGTCGTCTTTTCTCCATTGGTTGAAATGCTGGGGATGCTACTTGCAGAATGATAGTGTTGATGCAATATTGTCCTTTTCAAAACCTTTGCCAGGGGTGCAGAATACCGCTGTGCCGGCTAGGTTTTTTGTCTGCTTCATAGAAATTGGAGTCATCTGAGAGGAGGGAACCTCAATTAAGAAAAGGCCTCAGATACACACGCCTGTAGGACCTTTTCTCAACTAGTGGTTGATGTGGAAGGGCCCAGGCCATTGTGGGTGGTGCCATCCCAGGACTGGTGGTCCTGGGTTCTATAAGAAAGCAGGCTGGGCAAGCCGTGAGGGGGCAAGCCAGTAATCAACACTTCTCCACGGCCTCTGTTTCAGCTCCTGCTTCCAGGTTCTCCACGGCCTCTGTTTCAGCTCCTGCTTCCAGGTTCCTGCCCTGTCTGAGTTCATGTTCTGACTTCCTTTAATGATGAACAGTGTGAAATGAAGTGCAAACCAACTCATGGCTTTCCTCCCCAAGTTGCTTTTGGTGATGGTGTTTCGTCACAACAACAGAAATCCTAGTAAAACAACCATTGTATTTCAGAGTCCTGAGCTTTGATTCCCGGGGGCTGCGGCTCAGCTCTGTCAGCAACCGTCTGTCTGGGTACAAGACCAGGATCCATTTTCTGTTTTGTCCTTAAGTGTCCCCTACCAGACACTTTCTAAGCAAAATGAGATGCGGGCTCCTCCTTGGCCAGGCCTCAACCACGATCTCCCTCCCCCTTTTTGAGATCTGATGCTGGAATGTAGCCAAGCACCAACTGTAAGGTTTCAGAACTTGGGAAGGACCCTTAAAATTCCGCAGTGCAGCCCCTCCTCCGGCTGCTCTGCATCCTTCTTGTAAGAGGCGCCCAAGCATCGTCCACCGCCCTGGGCTTTGAGGCTGGGCCCGGATCGCCGGGGAAGGCGTGATCTGGCCAACAAGAGTTTGGAGAACCTGAGCATGGGTACCTGTGGCTCAGCCCACTGGAGTGGAGGGTCAAAGGCTAGACGTGACCCACCTAAGCTCGCAAAATAAAGTATTTAAAGAAAGATCAAGCACTCTGCCCACACGTCTGGGGCCACCCTTACCACCACAGCATCAACCTTGAAATGCATCTCCTCTAAATTACAAAAACAGAAATCACTAGCCAACTTTTAGCTAAACTCCAAACTTGGCGAGCGCGCGCAGACGCAAAGAAGGCGGAGAACTGGCGCACCACGACGGGACCGTCCCGGTCTGGCTCGGCGTCCCAGGAGGGTCATTGAAGAGGCCGCAGGCGCTTTCCGAGGACCCGGGGAGTCTGAGTCACTCCTAGACGCGCGGCTCAGCCGCACCGGGGGTCTAAGCATCTGGTCGAGCGACCGGCTGCGGGCGCGAGCGGAGGCTACGAGCGCGCGCACAGCCCGCGGGGCCCCGCCCCACGCCCCCGAACCGCCTCCAAATACTCCTCCGCGCGGCCGCGCAGTCGCCTCTAGTCGCCTGCGAGGTCCAA